GATCTTCGCTCGAGTTGATAAGAGCCATGGCTTCTGAGGTTCGACATCTGATCGAGGAACAGATAGACAGAACGGGGATGTATTCAATGCTCATCGATGAGTGCAAAGATAATGCGGGGCATGAAGAGCTATCGACTTGTTTTAGGTTTGTAAATGACGAAGGACGAATTGAAGAACGATATTATGATCTTGTTAGACTTAAAGAGACTGATGAAACCATTGTGAATGAAGGAGTTTTGCCAACAAGTAAAAAACTGAGCTTGTCGGCCACTCTCCTTGCACTTGGAGCAGATGGCGCATCTGTTATGAGCGGATGTTACGAAGGTGTTGCTGCTAAACTGAAGAGATATTATCCTTGGTTGATTTATGTTCACTGTGCTGCGCACCGTCTGAATTTGATTGTAGCGGCTTATTTTCGCACAGTCAATGAAGCATGTAGTGTAATAAATGTCTACAAGGCTTTGCATATCATTTTCAACGTCGCTGGCAACAGAGAAATATTCGAAGCTGTTCAAAAGGAGCTTTATCCGAAACAGCCCATAATGGCGGCTTCCTCCCTTACAGAAGTTCGATGGGCTTGTAAGTTTGAAGGTGTTAATACAATGGTTAAAAGACTTAAAGCGATTCTCGTAAGCCTTCAAAAGATCGGCGCTTCAAATTCGAACCAAGCCGATTCAGCAGCGGGACTCTACCACAAGATTCTCTCGGGAAAATTTGTAATTTCCCTATGCTTTCTTCATCAGCTTTTGTCAATAATGCATGGATTAAGTAAGGCTATGCAAGAGACCAATGTCAAATGGCTAAACATAGCCAATGAAATGGTGGCTGTAAAGAAGCTTCTTGTTGAGATTGAAACCAACGATATCATTGAATCAGCCAAACAGCTATGTGCAACTGTGAACATCACGTTGGACTACAAGGAACCCGTGCATGTTTCCAGACAAGATTCCACAGAATCTGCATGCCCTCGCGAGTTCTGTGAACGTCTCAGGGCAGCTTCTGTTCCCATGCTCCTCCAAGAGTTGGAACGACGTTTCTCTGGCGAGAATACCGAGGTACTGGCTGCTCTGGAGGCTTTAGATGCGTCAAAATCGACCTACCTAGATTATGCGACCCTATCCAGTCTCGTTGCCAAATTTGGAGATTGTCTCCATATTGACTCTACCTTGCTTAAAACCGAGTGCGAACGGGCGAAGATTCTAATTGCTGCCGGAAAGAACATCGATCCTGAACTGTACCCCAACTTATCCAAGGTGATTGCTATATTAAAGACCTTGCCAGTTGGTACTGCAACCGTGGAAAGAAGCTTCAGTGCTATGAATCGGATATTGAGCTGGGCTCGTAATAGCTTAGACAGTTCGTTGGCTAGTGACTTTATGTTGCTATCCATGAATAAAGACCTGTTAAAAAGAATAAACTTGGACAAAGTGCTTGATCGATGGGTAAATCAAAAATCCCGAATCGTACAGTTTAAGTAAAGACTTGTAGCGCAGCTAGCGCTTAAAACTAATTTAATTTGACTTTTTTTCAGAATTCATAACACTCATTGTGTGACTTGTGAGATTATAAATGTAGAATACTTTTGCTAGTTTTTAGCTTGTTTTTATTAAAACTTACCATTTCGTTTCCTTATATTGTGCTTTCATTTTTCAAAATGAATTATGAAATCTAGCTAAAATATAATTTTAGTAAAATTTGGGGGGGGGGGCGATCGCCCCCCCCCCTAGTTTCCGCCACTGGTCCTTGAATTAATAAACTTATTTACAATACAATATAATATGTATTAGACAAGCTTTCAAAATCTATTTCACAATGAAAGTTATAAAAACGTACATCTGTTTCAAGCATATTATCATGGCCATACTGTAGTAACACATTTCAAACTTTAATGAACTTGAGAATGATGTAAGATATTGAAGCAGAAAACTGTTAATTATTAACTCATTGAGTGGCAGCACTCTCCCCTTGATAGATAAAAAAATCATCTAAATAGTGTTAGATTAAAATAATAAAGTATGGTGCAGTGCGACTTAATAGGTTAGCAAGGCACGTTCTTAAAATGTATTGTGCCATGCATGTACCTACTTTACTATTTTACACTTTATAACGCCAGATGATTTTACTCAATGAGGGAAAGTACTGTTGTTTAATGGGTTAATTAAAATAGCTCTCATCTGCTTAGTAAAACTATTGCAAGTTAGTGATCAGCACTGTCTTCATCATCACCACCTGCATCGTCGAGTGTAGGGAAATGCACTGCAATATTCCTCTGATGTCTCTTTAGCCATTCAATGAACTTTGTCTCATCTAAATTCTCTAGTGGGTCAGATGAAATTCCCACAAACGAGCCATGGGATCTTTTGCAGATCAGTAGCAATTTTTTTTTCATCTTCGGATAATGACCTGTGAGAGTGGGCAGATGACTTCTGTTTAACAGATGCCTGGTCTTCAAACACATCGACAATCTTACGCACTCCTCCTGATGCTTTACTAATTTTTGAATAGCTTTTTCAGTTTTATTTGCCCCCATCTGATGAATCAACCCTTTTTGATGTCTTCATTTCTGTTCTCTTGTAGCAGATCGATTTCAATATTTTTCTTCTTCCCTCTTTTCCATTCCATATTTTTGTTCTTCCCTCTTTTCCATTCCATATTTTTGTTCTTCCCTCTTTTCAATATTTTTGTTCTTGCCCATTTGCAATGAGCTTCAGCAGGCGATAAAAGCACTTCATTTTGAATGGTGCTGATCAGCATCTCGATTGCATATGAATTATATCCAGAAACAGATGAGAAGTAAAACAACATCTTTCTGAATTAATGCCAAATGATCCCCATTTCCAGATGCCACTGCATCTTTACAATCCAGAAGAACCATAAATGACCTTAAGAGATTGATTGCATAGTTACACACACCATCACATTAATTGTTGTCATCACTGCTTGTTGTAGTTGAGTATGTATTCTTCAATAAACTTGTCCAACACTGCCAGCACATGAGTTTTCTTTTCCTCATCATTCATATCATTTGGAGGACAAGGATTATTTTCCTTCAGTGACTCATTAATGTTTTCCATTTTGAAGAACTGAAGCAGAGCTTCAATGAGGTAGCAATGGCCAATGCTCAATGCTCACAGTCTTCAAAATGTTTAACATCAATGCTCACATTTTGTCTGTTGAGCACTTCACGGAAGTATCTAAGCGTACCACTCTCTCGACCGGAGTTCTTGTAGAGGCTTTTGAATATTGTCTATAAAAAATGGAAGTCGTTTTAATTTATTTCATGTTTTGAGCCATCACAAATTTTCTTCCACATTCTCGTTATGCAAATTATTTAGGTCAAAGTTCCCGATCATGGTGATCGGCAGTCATGACTTTACCTGTTTTTTCAGGGTTTTTTTTCAGGAAAAGCAGGGGCTTTCCAGCAATCATAAGCAATTTCTTGCAGATCATTGATCGGCTGTTATTTCAAGCCCTGGGGCACACAGTCGGGCATTAAAAACAGACAAAACAGATAATTATCCTCATGATTTATGACCATATCTTTCCTGACATTTAAGTGGCTGCTTATTATACATGATCATGTTTTCTAAATAGTGAACTTAAACTGATTTTCATGTGTTTTTGTTATTGCTTCCGGCAGGAACGGGAACTCTGGGTTCCGGCCATAAATAATCTGCCGGAACCAATTTCTGGTGCACCCCTAACAAGCATGAAAAATTATCAATTTAGCTGGGATTCTTCCAGTACTGGGTAGAACTTGGAGAGTGACAGGCCTGTTCTTATATTAGAGAACATTAAACATTACAAACTATCAAAACTTTGTTGGCATCTCACATGATTGAATAATACTGTAGTTGAAAGGTATTGTAGATGGAAATTATCAAATTGAAATTTATACAATATACAGCATATATGTATTATACATAACCAGGAACAGCTGCAAAGTATGCAAATGTAGGTCCCATCTGGCAGGAATTGAACCACAGGAGGCCCAGGCTCGATTTGCCTGCGCCCGCCTGTGTCTTCCTTGTAACGAGGGAAGGACGGAGACATTGAGACCAAAATAGCCCAGACTTGGCATATGTCACATGAAACTATCCTCGATTTTTCGCTTTTAATGCATTTCTTTCACGATTAATCGATATCCCCAGCAAGAATGATACCGTATAACTCTCAAAACAACAATGCTTTAATCAAAGAGCTTAAATTCGCTCTGAAATCCGTGAGGGAATAACAAAATTCGGCCAAAATATATCCGCTTGCCGGGTTTGCTGTGCAAAAAGCGGAAGAAGATCTCGACGTTCAGTGTCTTGTGTGACTGGTGCTATTGTGTCATACAGATCGTCATCACATTCCTGTAAATGATGTTGAATTTCATTCAAATCTTCACTACAAACGGCATATTGTCTCATTTGCTCATTTATCTCATCATATCGAGCTATATAGTGTTCTTGAAATGAAGAACCTCCATGGAGTAAAGAGCATGATCAACTCTCGATAATGTTTTTCTGGTTGAGTTTCTTTATTAAACCAAACGCTTCGAATAATTCTAGCTTGTGTTCTTTTTTTAATTGATTTTTTAGAAGAAATACAACTTTCAGTGTTTTCATCACAAAGTTCATCATCATTGTTCTCATCTTCATCTTCCAATGGAAGGTGGTCTACATCTGATTTTTTAAGCGTTTTTTTATATTTTCTTTGTCCACAAGAGTCATACCATGCTGCCCAGTCAGCTAATGTAGTATTTTGTAAACAATCAGGTCTTTCAGCATATCATTGGAGAAGACCACCTGAATGGATTTCTTCCGATTCATCTGACATTTTCTCAATTTCACTTGATGGTTTCAGTAGTTCAACCCGATCACATGATGGGGATATGTTAACGAACACGATGTTTCGAGAGGACTTTCGCATTGGAAGTTGGAGAATGATATACACCGCCTCTTGGGCACTTACAGGGTGTATCAAAAAAAGCGCAATCCTCGACTGAAATGTAAATTGCTAAACAAATAATAGACGAAAACGTTAAAGTTTACATTCATTTTAAAGCGTAGCCATTCAGCTTTCTAACAGTGGGTTGTTTCTTAAATTTGACTCATTGGTTCACGGGTAATAATACTTTACGTTATTGCGATTGGAGATTAAAAAAATTGAGATGGAATAACAAATCGTTCTCATGAAAATAACTGTTTTTTTCATTAAAACAAAAAATGTTGCATTTTATTAAATGGATTGTAACAATAAGTATAATTACGGCTTTTCTTCCACTATTTTTAACTCAGTTTGAAACTTCAAATGCGATATAATTTTGGCTTGGACCATCTAAGCTGACTGACATCAACTTGCTATAATTTCTGTTTACATTACATCGCAATTCGATGACACTGGCTCAGACACAGAATGTTTTGACGATTTTTAGCATTCGTTTAGGATTTTCAAACAACCTGGTCTCTTTTAAAATACTTTTAATTTGTTCTTACGTGGTTTTCCAGATGTAGTGACGACAACATTAAAGTTTAAAGAAGAAAATTCTAACATTCAAACCGACTAAACAATAACATAGTAAACTTGCATAATTAAA